GTACCAATGCCTATCTTTTTGTGGCTATGAAATTAAACAGTTATCTAGCCTTTTTTCAATCTGCCTGTAGATTTTGAGCAGACTTTTGTATATAAGTATATAATGGTAAATAACAGTTTGAGTTACAGTTTGCCGTGTTACATTACATCTAGTTCTATAATAAAACATCACAGTTCATGGTAATAGTACAATATTAACTAGTACTGAATTCATACCTCTCAGGACCTTACTTTCACAGCTTATATGATAGAGGTGCAAATATAAGTCAAAATTAATTGGTTTGGCATTTAAGGGTATTGGTTAATTTGTACTTGTAAAGTTTAGATCCAAACTTGTTAAGGATTCTCTAATATTCTTATTTATTTTGCTTGCTAAATGGGTACATGGTTGTACTTTTCTGAATCATCGGAATGAAAGAATGGTTTATTAACTTTCATCTGCAAACACTTAAAAAACAACAGTAGTTGTTGAAATCACAACATGTTCCAGTTTAGCTAACATTAACATATAGACTGTCATGTTTGCCTTGAAGGAAAATTGATGAACTAATCGGTTGAATGTAACCACTAAAATATTGTAGACTGTCTGCTTTCATATACTCTTTCTTTGAAATTTTTTTTTTATATGAACTTAATTTATTTGTATTTTTTCTGTTTTTCCCTGTTACCCAATCAAAACTCTGTGTGCTGTACAGGAAATTCACTGAAATCCTGTACAATACTCTGAATATTTTAATGAAAATTCTTGTGCACATTAAAGGATTTTCAGTTATTAGAATTTCATGTATCAAATTAAATATTCAATTCCAGCCTCAGTTCTATTCTAATTATATACTTGTCCTTAGCCTTCCTGAATAGAGAACATTTTTTACAAAAGCCATGTTTGATTTATATAGGTAACGCTTGAAAAATACTAACTTTCATTAGAAAATTGAGATTTCTTAAAAAAATTATACACCTTCCTAGATGGAGACTGTTTAGATTTTGTACTTTTGGTATGTCTGGCATTTGAAATAAAGTAAATGTTATAAGATTAACTATTTTAATCCAGGTTTTTGCACTTGGAAGAAAATAATCTGTTCAACAAAGCTGAGTTAAAAGGTATTACACAGGTTAAATTCCAGTATTTATTTCAGTAGATAGTTAGACAGTTGTTATGCACTATTAGGCAAATTTAACCATATGTCATTCAAAACAAAATTTTGCCTCAAGTGTAAACAAAGTTTTCAGATCCGCCTGGCCCCAGACATTAAACAAATTTATTTCACTATAATTAACTTCATGGTAAAGTTTTTTCACTATACATATAAATTCAAAGTCATTGAACTGTTGTTTATTATCTTTTTTATAGTTTATTCAAGTCTATATTATTTTAAAAGGATATTTTTTATTAATGTCATAGCTGTATGGTATATGTCATGAGGTTAAACTTTCCATAGAAATACACAATAAAACCAGAAATAACAAAAATATACAAGTCTATACCACAATGTCAAACTTTTATTGTCTGGAGTCCAGACAAGTTAAGGCTACCAAAGAGTTGCCATTAAGACTAAAAACTTTTGCAGAACAAAAAGCGCAGTATTTAAAAAAAAACAGACAAGCACCAAGGTTCCTGACTTTGTGGTTCAATATTCAGGGAAATGTTTTTGCATTGCACAATCCTTAGAAATTTGGCTTATGAATAAACAAAGTACTTTTGATGTTTAATATGAAGAGTACTTTTTGTACTGTAGATGTTAAAAAACAGAAGTCCTTGTTCTGTATTTATAATGTTTTTTTGTTTGCTGAAAAAAACCTGAGATTTTTTTTTGTAGATTCTGTTGCAATAACTTGACAATGTGTTGTTCTGATTATGCAGTAATCATTAATTGAACTTTGTCACTTAAATCCTTGTTATTTGATCCCCTTGTTGGGACCTTGATAGGAAAAATTATGTTTCATTTGTAAAGAAAAGGGATATGATGCCCCTCTATATCGTCCACCAACATGTTTTGATCATCTTATATAAAGCAGAAAAAAGTATATTTATGCTGCACAACACCTTATGAATCAACAAATTTTTTTAAAGAACAATCTTACAAAAAAAAAATATACATTTCAGCATATCTTTCTATCAATTTTTATTGGTTGTGAAAAAAAATGCAGGACCTTGTGTCAACTTTAGAGCAGTTCATGTTTCCTTGCCTTAATAAGTACTCTTTTACTTTATGTTGATAAGAAAGAAAGGGATTACCACGTTTGTAGAGATACTATACTTCTTGAGATGCAATCTTTTATTAGTACCCTAGAAGGGGACTTTAGGTTTTCACTCTGTCTGTCTGTCTGTCTGTTCATCCGTTAGTCCGGGAAATCAGTTTTCCACACTTTTTTTCTTCATGCTTGAATATATCGATTTGATATTTGGTGTATTGTTTTATCATGACAAGTTACAGATCAAGTTCGAATTTTGTTCCGGTCTGATGATTTTGTGCAGAGTTATGGTTCTTTGACATAGAAAATTCACTAAAATAATCAGTTTTCTGCACTTTTTTTTGTCATTCTTGAAGATAATGATTTGATAATTGGTATATAGTTTTATCATGACAAGTTACAGTTCAAGTTGGAATTTTGTTCTGGTCAGATGATTGTGTGCAGAGTTAAGGTCCTTGGACTTAGAAAATTCACTCAAATAATCAGTTTTTCACACTTTTTTTCGTCATGCTTGAAGATATTGATTTGATGGACTTAGAAAATTCACTCAAATAATCAGTTTTTCGCACTTTTTTTCGTCATGCTTGAAGATATTGATTTGAAAATTATTATATTGTTTTATCATGACAAGTTACAGATCAAGTTGGAATTTTGTTCTGGTCTGATGATTTTGTGCAGAGTAATGGTCCTTGGACTTAGAAAATTCACTTAGATAATCAGTTTTCAACACTTTTTTTCGTCATGCTTGGAGATATTGACTTAATATTTGTTATATAATTTACACCATGACAAGTTATAGATCAAATTAGAATTTTGTTCCAATACAATGAATTTTTAACCGATAGGGGACTATGTATTGCCATGCAATACTCACAGAATGCTTGATTTTATCTGGTATCTAAGAATTGCTTTATCATGGTAATTGCACAATATCAAATTGTGCAATTGTTTTTTCCAATCAGTTCTTCACTACATTGGTTTTTCTGATGTATGTATGCATATTATTTTCCCCCCCACTAATAGGATATATGAGAAGTGTTTATACCATGTGATGTTTTGACTGTAAAGGAGCAAAGGTCACTCAGAGCTGTTCTAGATATAAGACAATATTTTTGTCAAATAAAAGCCTTGTTTCTCAACCATTGTATCCCTAGATGTCACATGAATGTTTGTAAATAAACTATATTTGTGTTATTATCTTTTTCACTAAAGGCCAGTAAGTATAAATGAAAGTTAAAAGTTGACTAATATTGGCAGTGGTCCAAATGTTACCATATGTTTGAAATTCTATTAAATGATCTATTAATTGTTATATTGATACCTGGTCAGGTAATTGAATATACTGTAAAACATGTCTACTTCTTCTTCTTTAAGTTCATTAGTAGAAAATTGATGCAAATGTGTGTCTTGTAGCTGAGCTATTCAAATTGTAATAGATATCTTATGACGTTTTTGTCTGTTGTTGTGATGGATCTTCATAGTTGATAAAAAATTGGATGAAATTTCCAAGTTTCTTATTAATTTATTTAAATGAATGATGCAAGGAAGATTAGACCTGATTTGAATAAAAAAAAATTTGGTAGAGGTATAAGATGAATTTTCCATTCTGAGAATTAAACACATTATTAAAAAAGTCGCACAAACTAAACAAATACAAGAAATTAAGCAGAAAAGGAAATACGTCAAGAAACAAGTGTTATGAATTTATGAGGGATTGTTACGAGTCTTGAAACATTGTTGAGTGATAATTTCACACAATTTATTTTCTTTTAGCTTATAAGAAGATCTCTCTCATTACTTGGACTGTGAAACAATCATTTCAAGTCAAAATGCCTCAATGGTCTTATGTAAGGTTGCTTATCTGAAGTTGGTTTGGTGAAGGGTTCTAGGTTTGATTTTATTCATAAACCAAAGACCTTAAAATTGCCATTTGCTGCTTCTTTATCATGCAAACTGCATTAAGAATATATCAGAATATAATATACTTGAACAGACAAAAATCCCTTTCCTCATTAAACTCCAGAAAATATTGAAGGGGTCATATGAAAAGAGATAGTTGTCAAATGCAGGGTAAATAATTTGTGAGCAGTGCTATTTTTTTTTCTATTTTGCATTGTATTTATATGACTGATTTATTGTCTCTTTAGAAAAATGATTTATGGGATAGTGTCTGACCAATTAATTTACATGGAATAGTAATAGACTAAATGTATTATATACCATAGTAAATGACTTATTAATCAGGTCTATATATTGATTTTAGCTGCATAATGGGTTTTGACATGGCAGTTAGTGTCTTTACAAAAATAGAAAAAAGTAGGTTAGTGAAATGAGGGTAATAAATTAAAAAGCTGATTTTTTTTTCTGAAGTATTTTCAAATAATTTCTCATTAATGAGTCTGTCTTGGACCTTGAATGTGTTTAATTGAAAGAGTTGGTCCCTGTTTTACATATTTTTTTGTACTTCTAAGATCTCAAATTTTTGTTATAACTAGTGCTGTTCTTTTCATAATCTGTAGAAAATTACTTTTGTTTTGGTTGATCAGATTTTATATCTGAAAAGGGAGATTTCAAATCTCTACTCGGACACTTGACTCCAGAGAGAGATTTCATTATTTTTTTAAACAGAGAAATTGTAGAGTTTACAACTATGTATGTATATGGGTATGGGTATGGTCATTTGATTACATACAAGTATACAATATACAGTCATATCATTATGACTGCCCAAGGAGCTCAGATCTCTACCATGGCAGTAGAACAGATGTATTTTTTCCATGAGATTATATTCTAGCTTGTCTTTTTCAGGACCAGATGGGGAAATAACCCTTACACTAGAGGATCATATAGTTTCCTGAAAGTAGGAGCTCAGGCTGTAGACGTAGATGCTCTATCAGAACCCTTAATGGGATCAGAATCTGATAAGGTGAGGGATTATTAAAAAACTTGAATGGATAAAAAAAGTGAATTTCTTGACATGAGAAAACAGGGCCAACTACTTGATTAATGTCCAGTTGCCAATATTACATATTCAGGATGATTTCAAAGTGGGTCGACTGGGATGGAGATTGGGAAATTTGGCCTGGGCTGCCAATTAAAAAGAGAAAGTTTGATAGGGGAGGAAATGTGGTCTTGCAACAGGCAACCTGCTCACCCACCAATGAGATGTTGTAAGAAAGTTTAAACACACAGAGAGTGTGACTTTCTTTCAACACAGGATATCAGATATAACTTCCCCATTCAAACTGGGCAGAAAAAACGGTTCTAGATGAGATATTATACTTGATGGACATATATAAAAAAAAATGTTATTTGATGATCTTATGTTATGCCAAATAATTTTTAGGGATAAAGAGTATAGAATGCACATGAGAACTAGACAAAAATAGTGATATATTATTGAAGGATAACATAACTGAAATTGGTAACAAATTCTGGGATAGGAATGAAATTATGTGTGGAATAAAGATATATATATATCTATATCTTCCTGTGTATAACACACACACATACACACAGTCAAAAGGGTTTTTAGATTTTTTTTATTATCAAAATCAGAAAAAAGAAGGAAAATTATCTGAGCACTACCTGACTCCATGTCAACATATCATAAACAATCCTTTATATTGACAAACTAGTGTTTACTTTAGTTACCTGTAATTCTTTTCTTGACCTACTTTCAAAGAATGATCCATTATAGATTTTTTATTAGCATTGACCAGGTTATATTATTTAAGTCTGTTTAAGTTTTTGTTTAGGTGGAGGATATTGATTAAAAAGAAAAGTACATGATGTATATGCATATACTTTAAACTTTCTTTTGATTATGTTTAGATTATCTTTACTCTGTGTTCTGCTTAAATAGAATAAGTTTTGTAATATATTTTTATGAGAATGTTCTTTACATTTTGAGACATTTAGCTTTAGGTCAGGAGATTGTTATACTGTACATATATAAAGTTTAGGTTCAAAGAAGGTCAGTTTGAAATAATAAATGATGTCCTACAAATTTCTAATTTTTTGGCATGAAGAAGATACATCCAAATAGTCCAAAAAATTCAGGAGTACCCATGCTTGTTTTTATGCAACAAGTACTTAAAATGTAGCTTGTATCAGACATGTTGTAAAAAAGGACTATTTAAATACATGTTTTCTAAAATATATTTGTTCTGTAGTTTTCTGGAAAATTGATGCTTTAAACTTACTCATTTTTGTGGTAACTTTTCTGTGTTTAACCCTTTAAACTGACTTGATTTATTTTCAAAGTTTGTTGATGTATTCATATAAGAAAAGAACAACATTTTACATATTCATGAAGATTTATATTGGCATAAAAAAAAATTCTACTTGCAAAAGTCACATAAATAATTTGCCCCATTAATGAGTTGGTTTTCAGTATCTTAAAGCCATGTTTCTAAGCTTTAAAAAATACAGACTATTTTGGGATACCTGTGCTTCTATTTCACTAGTGAACAACAACACATAATGTTGAAGTTTTGGAGAAGAATTGACAAATTTTCTCTAAATCTTTTTGTCTTGTGTTGCCAACAGGTAAATCTATTTATATCATATGAAGCTAAGAATTTAAAAAAAAACACAATAAAAATCACCAGATGGCAGTGTATGACCTCAACTTAACAAAAAAGCGAGAGTCATCATGTCACTAACAATAAAAAATGAAAATATTTTGGATAAACAACCTGACCTAATTGATTTCATCTGTTATTTCACATTCTTATCAAGTTATTGATTGTTAATTATGTATTTCCCTCATGCACAAATAATAACAATCAAATCAAGGTTGAAAAGCCCTAAACCATTTCTATTCCAAACATTGCCAAATGGTTATAGAAATATACAACAAAACATGAATGAGCATAGTCCTCAATTGAATTAATTACTTTTACAATTGTTTATGTTAAAATGTTATGGAATACAGTCTAAAACAAAAACACTTTTTAGTCAATTTATTTGAATTCATTATAAATGAGATTACTATGAATGCATTTTTTTACACATCCAAAATTGGGTGTTTTGTTTGCCTTTTTCATTCATTGCATGTTTGCTAGTATTCTTAAAATATTGTACATTACAGATAAGCAATGCACATGTATGATATATATTTCTCGAATAACTTTCATTGGGTATGCTGATTGCTGAATACCAAAAATGATGGAAGCTAAATAAATAATACATAATGTTCATCAGAACCAAAAAAGTCCTACACTGAAAAATTGTATAAGACCAACTTTTTCTTAGGTACTATTAGGTATTTTTATTTTTTTCAGCCTCAAGTGTGCTTTGCAGGGGAGGCAACCCATCCAACTCACTACTCAACTACCCATGGGGCATTGCTGACAGGCTTGAGAGAAGGAAAGAGACTGACAGATTTGTACAAATGATGATAGTTGTTATGTAGTCTCATTTTATGTTGTATCATACTGACACAAATTTATGAGAGTTATGAATGGTGCAAATGGTCATATATTATTTCTCATTTTATAGCATTATCTCCAATTAACTTACCAATACCCTTTAATTTACTGCGTATGATATTTTAGTGTCCATTTTATAATATTTGTAAAGTTTATTTTACTGTCAGAGTTTGATTTGCATAAAGCTAATTTTTCTGTGACCTCTGTATTAGCAAGTGGAAATGGCAAATTTTATAATTATATGCTTGAAATTTACTTTTTTTTAACTGACAAATCTTGTTGAAAATGTATTACGTGGAAGTATAGACTTTAGCTGATCTATATCACATACAAGTGGACTAAATAGAAACATTGTTTTAAGATGTATTGAATAAGACACCATTAAACTTTATATTTTGAAAGAAAACAACAATTTTGAATTTTGTCACTTGCACTTCATTGGTCAAATTTCTTTTATCACTTGAACTTTTGAGTATTGGTATGAAAATTACCCCTTTTAAATGTAAATACATTTTTAGGAAATTACTAATGAAAACAAATCTTTTTGACAAGTCTGTAGAATACCTGGATTTTTTATTTTTTTTCATAAAGACCTGTTAATTAGAATATCAATAGTTTTCTGTTGACCCATTCTTTTATAGGAGCCATTGACCTCAGTATATTTTTTTGTCGTTTTTTTTTTTTTTTTTTTTTTTTAAAGAAAAAGGGATTTTATAGATTGATACTTTTAACCAATAGAAAACAAGAAACTAATGATTATACAAGAGCATAATAATTTCTTGGAGAGTTGTCCCCTTCTAAAATACATAACACAAACTCTTCATTGTATTTGTTCATTCATATATTATAGTACAAAGGTCTTTTATGAGCTGTTTTATTAAATGCTTAGGGATCTAATATTCAAGAAATAGTCCGAAATTTTTCAGGAAAGTCAGCAGGCCTGAAGAGATTCTTTAGGTATCTTGAACTATTCCATTCATAGTTTTATCAATATAACAGGCCTATCATAAAAGCTGCAGACCTCAATTGAACATTGATTCAAAAGGATGGTACATGTATCTTTTATTTTTTAATGTTTTGATATTATTTTCACAAAAGTTCTTGATTTTATGAAAGGTTCAGCTTTTATACATGTACTTCCTTCTACACAAATTAAGCACAAAACCAGCATCTTGGAATTTTAGCTGTATAATATTTTTATGTCAAAGGTAAATGTTGTTGAATTTTGGAGTGAAAATTTCACATTATAAGTAGCAACTGCAAACTTAGTGGAAATTTAACACATACAAAAATCCAAAATGCTGATTTGATCACCTAATAACCTCAGGAATAATTAAAAGATAAATCAGTATGTTGGCATTGTGTAGAATTAATTCAATTTTTATTTATATCACATTGTATTGTCACCTATGAGCGGGTCTTTTAATACCTCAGACTACCAACACGTTAACGTTATTTATTAAATTTATAGCCAATTCTGTTTGAACACAGTTTATGCATTTTGTTAAAATATCTCCACATATATTTATCATACGATCATTTAAACTATGTTAATTTTTGCTGATTGATGAAGGATAATGTTTTGTTATTTGGGCTTTTGAGAAATTTTAGAAATGGTGCTCACTGGACAAGGGAGGTTATCCTCTGTTCACAGAAAAACATATTTTACACAGCTTTGAATGGAAATTCTTAAATTGAATTGTTCATTGACTACAGGTATTTATAATTGTAGTGAATCAGTCATTGACTACAGGTATTTATAATTGTAGTCACTGGCAATGAATGTTTGCAAATGAATTGTTCAGTCTTGTTGCAGAGTTTTTTATTTACTTTGTTCTACCTCATGAGTTTTGTTCAATTTACCATGTTGATCTAACATCTTTTTGAGAATGCCACTGTCAGTATGCTACAAAACATAGAAGTGTTTTGATTATTTTTCTAGGGTGTCGCTGTCATTATACTACAAACAAAGAAAGTTTTTTGATATTTTTTTTTTTTTTTTTTTTTTTTTTTTTTTTTGGTGTCTATTTTAATTTTTTTAAATTTTATTTGTTTTGCTGATTGTTCCTTTCAATTTTTTTTAAGAATTTATATTATACAACGAAGGTGGACCAAAGATGAATTTTACATCTTTGTCTCTGAGAAGTATTTTCTCTCAGCATAACTTGCAAAATAATGAAGTTGTTAATAAATTTCCACAAAATTATTTAAATCTGTTGTCTCCATTTTCAAATTCCTTGTCAAGAGGAACAAAAGCTGATGACAGTAATGTTTGCAGAAAATATATAACTTTTCTCTGTTGGGACTGTATATTTTTGCAATGAAACAGTTAAAAAAGGTCAAGTTGCAAAAGTTGCCAAAAATAAGGGAAAATGATAAAATTTAGAATGTAAGTTTGTATAGTTTGCTTTGGTGTATCTATTGGTTCTTATGCACTGATAGTTGGATTGATTGAAGAACGTGTCCTCTTTTTTTTTTCCACGTATAAGGATGTTGAATGAAAATGTTTTAGTTTGTCAGATTTAAAAAAAAAGGAAAACATTTGAACTTTGAAAAATGTAATGCAATGTATGTTTCATTTAAGTATATCATCACATATTTATTTATGTCATTTTTTCCCTAGTCAGTCAGTGGTATATATTGTAGTTATTTAGAATTTCTGTAATATTCGGAACTTGTATTTTTAATCATCAGTGATTGTGCAACCATAGCGTCAGAGTTTTTGAAAATGTGTCAGTATGAACTTTTAACATTACAAGAAAGTTATAAAGATGAATTGGAAATCATACAAAAAAAATTAATGTTCAACTTTTATTTTAAATGAGAAGACTAATAATAAGTTATATTTAATATAACAGTCAACGAAATTTACACACATGATAAGTCAAGAGTGCTTAAATTTCACATTTGTAAACTCTGATGTTATGTATGTAGAATAGTAAGTTATTTCTTACAGGGCTTTTCTAGAAAAAAATAATCAAGGGTGAAAATAAAAAAATTAATAATGTTGAAGTATGAGTAAAAGTTTTTTTATTTTAATTTCTCCGGGATTAGGGAAAAGAATCCGAAAACTGTTGTCATTTAATTTGGTTGGAACAATTTTCATGTTTTTAGAAAATCAATAGTCTAAATTTTTTATTTTTATTATTTACGTGCAAGTGAGAACTGGATTTAGTCAAGTCTTTAATTTAAATTTGGTTTGGGAATCTACTTATCAAACCATGAAAATATCCAATAAAATGTAAATAATGGTGTTTGTTTGATACCAAAACTGTTTCTAGAAAGGCCCTTTTTTTTTTTATCATCGACATAAATTACGTTTGATGCCAAGTGAATTTATAAAAATTGTGCAATTGATTTTTTTTTAATTCTGTATCAATCTTGAATGTATCTGTACATGTATGTTCTAAGTAAATTAAGTCATGAATGCTAATCTAATTTATACTCTGTACATCAGAACTTGAATGTGTACATGTTGAAATCAATGTCAATTCAGCTCAATTGTCACATGACACTGCAAAGGCTTGTTTTGTCTTCTTAAGGTTTTCTTTTCACCTTCTCTGACTTGTCTGTTAAAATTAAAAAGAGTTCCAACTATCTTCTGCCTACTGGTTCTTAGGGAACCATATCGTGGCCTCATTTAATAGATATTTTGCATGTTTAACTAAATTAATATTGAGTTGTTTAATATGGTGTTAGAGAAGTAAATTTACTGAAAAATAGAAAGTATAGACGACCAAAAGAAGTCTATGGTATGGTCAGCCATGGTCAACATGCTGCTTCCATGCTGAGTAAACTAAAATAGGAGAAACCTTTTTTAATTCACACTACTCATGTTCTATATCTATACCATTGATGATCGTCTCACCCATTTATTATAGTTATTAGCGTAATTATGAAACTTTGGTAAAATAAGCTAATATCTTGTATATTAGACATCAGTATAGTAAAACATGTCAGATTCTTGTTCAAGTACAGACATTTTACTTTAATATATCAAGAGAATGGTGTCTCTGAAATTTGACCAAGGCAAGTTGAAGTTCGCCCATGTTGTATGTTACAAATTTTGCATTTATCATGTTTTTTTCTTGGTTTTTAAGTGATCAAATGATCACCTAAAAGACCAAGACATTAAAGCAAAATCACAATATCACTTAAAAGACCAGGACATTAATGAAAAATCACACAATCACGTAAAAGACCAGGACATAAATGCACAAAATTACATGAATGCTTTGGGTTCTGAATCTTTGAAATTAAAACAAGTCATATGATTCAAATTTTTCATATCATAAATGAAGAAAAAACAAGCCTTTACTTGAATAATTGAAACTACCTTAATTTAAAGTTGACATTGACAACTTGTCAGGATTATTATATCTTGAGATTTTCATTTAGTAATAATATTATTATGTTGTTTTCATTTGTTTGATTATGTTCATTTATCAGCAATCTAATAATTTAAAACCGTCCATGGGATGAAAATTATGCCATGCAAACTGGAGTAGGTTTTTATTTCCCTAAAGTTGGTAGATAACAATATGTGAATTAAAAAACAACCATGACAAAATGTTGCCTTGGATTTGTTTTGCTAGAGAATGTACTGCACTTTTGTTTGGCTATGCCTTTCTGATGTTTAATTGAAATTGAAATTTTATCTCTCATAAAAGCATTATGACCTTGAGAAGTCCTTGATTCTATATTTGAAATAATAGTAGGAAATATTACTTACTTCAGGTGTTTTCATGCAAGTACATTTTTTAAGAATTGTTTTTCAAAATAATTTAAAGAAAAAACTATGTATAAGTTGTTTCAGATTTTTTTTTTCAAAATACAAATGCCAAACAGTTACTGTTCTTGAATTAAAAGGCATTATTCTATGTTATTGAACAAAAAGGAAATGAGAAGTACAATAAGGGGTTCAACACTCCCAAAAGATATTTTGTTTTTTGTTTTATTTAATGTATTTAATATGTCAAAAATTTGTTATCAACAGACTTGCCAAACACCAAGAGAGATGAATATTATTTGGAGGCAGAATTATAGTCAATTTTAGGTTTGAATTGAACAGTCGATTTGATTTGATGTAGTAAAATGTTCTCATACGGAGACAGTTGTAAGATACACAGAAATTACACCTGATAATCAAGCAAAACAAATATAAGTCATTGCAAATTTGTTTGTTAGTTTTTGATGAATTGAAATACATTTACAAGATTTTAACAGATGTTTTATGAAATGGCAGAGTTGTATTGTTAAACTTTTCTATTTTCTTGTAGATAGGGTAATGTAATCTTTTGTGTCCCATACTCCAGATGATTTCTTTGAGATTATTTTATTAATGTCATTATTCAAAAATGTTTTTCCATTGTATTTACACTTGAGAACAAATTATAAGGTAATTAAAAAGAATTCTATAGAAACAGATGAGGGGGTCTTAACATTTTAACATAAATATAATGTATAATGGAATGAGAAATCAAATAATTTATCTCTAGTTCTGTTTAAAAACTTTAAACAAATATCCCAAAAATTTGAATCAGATGTACATGAGTAATTTTGAAAATTGAATCCTCCTGAAACAAAACAACACAGAATGGATTGCTCTGTATTGGAGTTAGGGAACCAGTTTCTATGAAGGACTAGGGATTACATTGTCCTGTCTAATTGTAGATCAGAATTAATGGATGGTGTGTTAGATTGCTCAGTGCTGGCTATAGCAGCATACTTATTGTCACATTAAAATGTTCTGAGTATTAAATAAAGTATAATAAATATATCGACAGTTCACTTTTATTTTTAATATCACTAAAAGGAGACATGGGGTAAATTTCAATGAGACAGCAACCCATGTATTTAAGTGAAACAAAAATAAACATTTAGCGGTCATAATTTTTATACAACCGCAAAACAAACTTTTGTGTTCGTATAATGGTATCATGTCAGCGTCTTTGTCCGAAGACACATTTAGTTTCCGGTCAATAACTTTAGTTTAAATGAATGGATCTCTTATGAAATTTTACCAGAAGGTTCAATACCACAAAAGGAAGGTTGGGATTGATTTTGGGGGTTATGGTACCAATAGTTTTGGAATTAGGGGCCAAAAACAAGCATTTTTGTAGTTTCAGGACAATAACTTGTGTGTAAGTGTATGGATCTCTCTGAAATTGTACCACAAGGTTCCATATCACAAAGGGAAGGCTTGGATTGAGTTTGGGGTAGTTGCCCCAAAAGTTCAGGAATTAGGGGCAAAAAAGGGGCCAAGAACAAGCATTTTTCTAGTTTCCAGACAATAACTTGTGTTTAAGTGTATGGATCTCTCTGAATTTGTAATACAAGGTTCCATACCTCAAAGGGAAGGCTGGGATTGAGTTTGGGGGTAATTACTCCAAGGAGGGGGTTCAAAAAGTTTGGAGGGGATTTTTTTTTCAAATTTAATTTGGGGTTTCATATTTTTTTCTTCGAGATTTTTCAAAATTTCAAATTTTGGGGGGGGGGGGGGGGGGGGGGGGGGGTGGATATTTATTTCATACTTTTTTTTTTTTTTCTAAAAATTTTCCATTTTTACATTGATTTATATATAAAAGCAGCAAATACTGATGTGGCAGGAGATACACACCAAACAGGGTGTGTAAATTATTATATATAACAGATTAACAGTATTCCGCAATAACAAGAAATCTTCACTTGCATAGTATTGCGCAATAGCAAGAAATCTTCAATTGCATTGCACAGTATTGCGCAATAGCAAGAAATCTTCAATTGCACAGTATTGCGCAATAGCAAGAAATCTTCTATTGCACAATAGCAAGAAATCTTCAATTGCACAGTAATGCACAATAGCAAGAAATCTTCAATTGCACAGTATTGCACAATAGCACATTATTATACGACCGCAAACAATTTTTGAGGTTGTATATTGGTATGATGTTGGCGTCTTCGTTGTCGTCATCCGATGACACATTGGTTTTTGCACAATAACTTTAAGTGAATGGATCTCTATGAAATATTACCACAAGGTTCAATACAACAAAAGGAAGGTTGGGATTGATTTTGGGGGTTATGGTACCAACAGTTAAGGAATTAGAGGCCAAAAATAAGCATTTTTCTAGTTTCCAGACAATAACTTGTGGAACAGTGTATGGATCTCTCTGAAATTATACCTTTTTTTCTTTTATTCTCATAAAGCCAATGCATTACATCAGTACAGAGATAACAACAATAACTATTTACAATATATACAAAACAAGGAGAGAGGTTACAGAAGTCACTAGCCAGGAGGACAAACAAAAGTATTAACATTTTTTATAAATAAACAAAATTTCTTCAGGACTGGTTTTCGTGTACTCGACATAAGTTCCGAGAATTTAAATGTATTATGTCGTTGTACAAAATAGGAGGATAAATACTCTGTACGTTTTTGGGCGAAAAAAGTACATTCAAATATATAGTGATATTCGTCACCAATTTGTCGATTGTTACATTGATGGCAAACACAGTTTTCTCTCAATATATTTTTCCTGTTTCAATCAGCAATTTGTTATTAGTTGTTCGAAATCGACAAAGAACAACGGCATCTTTAAAGTCCAAAATATTAAAATATTCCTCAAATTCCCAGTTTTTCTTAAAAATTTTGTAGTTTATAGCTTTTGATGAATTTTGAATAAGGGAATTCCAATTCTGAAGAAACTGGTCTAATAATCTTTGCTTTATAACAGTTTTTAACCAATCTTTATCTATAAAATTTTGTGTTTCCCATATATATGAGAAACCACGATCTTGAAATATTTTTTTGACAAATAGAATCCATTTATTCTGCATGTTATAATGAGCATTCATATGGCGAGAAAGTTGATACAATATAAAGGAAAACTTTGCTTGTTTGCCGGAAATCAAATTTGCCCAAAATAATACTGCTTGAACTTTTATATCTATGTCAACCGGATGGCGACCTAGTTCCCCGTAAACCACATAATTTGGTGTTGAGGATTTCAGATTTAAAAGTAATTTACAGAATTTTAAATGTATCTTTTCTAATACCTCATTATTACTAAAACCCCATACTTCGCACCCATACAACAGAATGGGCTTGACAATTTTGTCAAAAAGATCTAGCTGACATTTTATGGAAAGCTGATACATCCTTCCCATTTTCAGGACTTCGTACATGGCTTTTAAGGCCGTATCGGATAAATGTTTTTTCGTCATATTAAAATTCCCTGTTTTAGTAAAAATAATTCCCAAATAGTTAAACTGCTTTACTATCTCAATGTTAGTGTCATTGTAAGAAAATCTGAGATTTTTTGGCAAACGTCCAAAACCAAACACTAAAGCTTTGGTTTTGTCAACGTTTACTTTCAATTTCCAAACCACAAGTTTGTATACCACAAAGGGATGGTTAGGATTTGCTTTGGGAGGGTTATGACTCAAACTGTTTAGGAATTAGGGGCAAAAAACGGGGAAAAACAAGGGTGTCCTGGTTAATGGACAAATACTTTAGTACAAAACATAATTTAAAGCAGTGTAAGGGAGGTAATTCAAATAATGGTTAATGAACAATTAAGACAATTTAAAAGCAGTGTAAGGGAGGTAATCCAAATACAGAGTTTTGATTACCTCCCTTACACTGCTTTTAAATTATGTTTAAAGAAATGCATATTTATAAAGGAAGACCAGTAAAAATATCTGCAAATGTTGCATCTTTTTTTTTTACAAAAAAATCCATATGAAAGATTTTACACCATATTTTAAATTCTATTATAAAATAGATTAAGTTAGCACTATGGTAAATTTAAATGGGTAATTATGGTTGCAAACTCCAATGGAAATTTAAATTGAGATTATGACCATATCTTGAGGGAAAGAATTTTTTTGGGGGAAAAAAAGGGGGGGGGGGGGGTTAAAAAGAAATTGTGGGGGTCAATTTTTTCTCATTTCAGATTTCAGAAATTGAAAAGAAAAATTCTTCAAATATTATTTTTTTGGCAAAAAAAAAAGTGTGTGGGAGGGGGAGGCTTAATATGCAATAGCATAGTGTATTACACAAAAGCAAAAAAAAAAGGGGGATAAATTTTTTATTTATTTTTTGTGGGGGAGGGGGGGGGGGGTCAATTCGCAACAGCAGAGTGTATTGCATAAAAGCAAAAAATTGAATATAAATTCAAATCATATAACTAATTCTAAGTTCTTTGACTACAGTTATTCTGTGTCAGAAACCTTTTATGTGTCAAATATTTAATTACAATCCAAATTCAGTCCTGCGTCAAGCGCGAATATTGCGTCCATTTTTGCCCCAACTGTTCAGGGTTGGACCTCTGTGGTCGTATCCAGCTGCGCTCGGCGAAGCAATTTATTGGGCAATAGCACAGTATTGCGCAATATCACAGGATTGCTCAATAGCACAGTATTGTGCAATAGCAAGATATCTTCAATTGAAAATAAATACAAATCTTTTAACCAATTTCAATGGGATTCATTTAAAGTCTTTAATTTTGGGGGGTTCTAACCTTGTATTACTATTTTGGATATTGGGCCCCATTTTAAAATTGGTCTACATTGAGATCCAACGGGTCCAAAATTAAACTTCAGTTGGTTTGATTTCATCAAAAACTGAATTATTGAGGCTCTGTGATATGCTGAATCTTATTGTGCATTTAGATTTTTTATTTTGGGCCCTGTTTTCACATAAGTCCATATTAAGGTTTGAAGGGTCCAAAATTAAACTTTGTTTGATTTCAACTAAAATAATTTTTGGTGTTTTTTTATGTGCTTGAATATTGTGTCCAAATTTGCCCCAACTGTTCAGGGTTCGACCTCTGCGGTCGTATCAGGCTGCGCTCAGCGAAGCATTTTATTGGAATTTGATGATATTTTTTTTCGTGAAGTAAGATTGAAAAAGAAAGGTGCATGAGACAACAATTAGATATAACAACAATTTCAAAGGAATATCTCTTTTATTAGTCCCCTACTGACGAAGTCGAAGGGGACTTTAGGTTTACACTCCGTCAGTCTGGCAAATCAGTTTTCCACACTCTTTTTCTTCGTGCTTGAAGATATTGATTTGATATTTGTTGCATTGTTTTATCATGACAAGTTACAGATCAAGTTTGAATTTTGTTCCAGTCTGACGATTTTGTGCAGAGTTATGGTCCTTGGACTTAAAAAAAATTCACCCAAATAATCAGTTTTCCTCACTTTTTTTCTTCATGCTTGAAGATATTGATTTGATAATTGGTATAAAGTTTTATCATGACAAGTTACAGATCAAGTTCGAATTTTGTTCTGGTCTGATGATTTTGTGCAGAATTATGGTCCTTAGACTTAGAAAATTCACTCAAATAATCAATTTTCCACATTTTTTTTCGTCATGCTTGACTTGATACTTGTTATATAGTTTACACCATGACAAATTACCGATCAAGTTAGCATTTGGTTCCAGTACAATGAATTTTAAACCGAAAGGGGACTATGTATTGCCAGGCAATACTCATAGAATGCTTATTACTATTTGTGTGTCCCAATTGATGAAGTAGTGGGAAAAAAAGAGGCAGAAGATAGATACCAATGAGACAATCAAAAATCATAAATCCCAGAAATAAAAATAATACCATGGTAACGAAACGAAAAAAGACTAAAACCAAACAGTTTACAAAACCCTAAGAGAGACAAAGGCATGCTGAAATTGTCAGTGTCAGAGATGTCAACTATTGTTAAGTTAGTGATAAGGTCACTTTTAGGTGAACCACCAAGTCAATGATATTGTGTATGCAGTTGTATTAG